CGCCCGCTCTACAGCCCTTTGCCCATCTCCAGCGGGGCGCCGGTGTTTCACCCGGGCTTCTGCCGGTCCGTGGAGACGTCTCCGTCGGGTACTCTCCTCTGCCGGGCAACTCGGTACGTCGAGACTCTCTGCCCACGGCAGATTCGAGCACCTCGACCTCAACTAAACAATAACGACATCTTACGAGAGCATTGACATAACTATACGAATCAACCCGAAAGCGTAGCTTCTGAGCACAGTGGCGACCCGAAGGGAACCAGAAATCGAGAACGCTATCTGTATCGGTAACCGGAGCCACCTTGGGACCGTGATTCGAAAAATCACATCACAATTTATATATTTTTGAGGATTGCATTGTTCATGAACTCTCAAAAGAAATACATCGAACTCTTAGATCGTCCATGTCTATGGGTGCGTAAGAAAAAAATGTGCATTTTCAAATAGACCGTAGTTCCACGTCCGATTTAAAATCAATGCAGCCGCCCCAGCTAAATGGCAAACCTTGAACACTTAGCTGGCTAATCTTCCAACTAATCAGTTTCCGTTTTTCTTAATCGGCCTACGTGAGTCATAAATACGAAGAAGCATTCTCGGAGTTCAGAGAAACGGATGATTGACGTAATCTCACGTTAAATGGTAAATTGGAAAACACAGTTGTCTAGTAAAGAAAGTACATAGTCTATTGCAAACTCACTATCACGTATCAGATTTGCCACGTTAAATTGAAGTATAATAATTTATCAGGTAATCCTGTAAGTAATACAATATTTTTTCAATTGTGCAAAAAATATTTCAAAACTGCATTGCTCGTGGGATGACCTGATAGTTTAATTGCATGCAATGTTCACGTGTCACCCACAATAAGGAAATGATAAAAAAAGCACTAATATACATGTCAAACATTAGAAAAAATATTGTAGCTACTGTTCGCTGGGTATTCACATGATTTAATTGATTTGCCTTATATGCTCGGATTGCCTCGGCACCTCGTTGTCTGCATTTCAATCCATTGCGAATATAAAATTTCGTGAGATTTAAAAAACATATCACATGCTAGATCGAAATGTGCATCACTGTAGAGTTTTCTGTGGGAAAAATACGAAAAGTAAAACTAATCTCGCAAATACAATTTTTCATAATTGCAGCGTGAAGCATCACCGTTGCCAACAAAGTATCATACACGTAATTGCTATTAAAAAATTAAATTATATTTTCTAATTAAATCGCAGGTTCCCAATGTTGCATCGAATCAAAAAAAAAATAATCCTTGGACAAGTAGGACAGACATAAGCGAAAAAAAGAAACAGACGTCACATAATAGCATTAAATTTATTACCAAATAAATGAGGTTATAATGCACTATGCTATCTAAAAGTTATCATAAATATATATTCGCTCTCTGTTTATCTATGTATATTATGCACGCATATATAACGCAAGCGATTAATACCACGTAAAGCATTGTGTTTTAATACATCGAGGAAAATCATATAACAAAAAGTCAAACTTAACGCACAAAGTATACATCGCGCTAGGAACGCAGCAAGAACGAGAAGAAAAGTCTCGTTATGCAATTTCATTAGGAAGTCGTTATTTACTATATATAGAGAGAGATGGGTTCGTTCAAAATAATTTACCCATAGTAATTCCCAATTTTTGTTCACAAAGTGTGATTATTCCAAAAACATTATCACACATAGATATACTGGGTGTCACAAGTATCACCATGAAATTTGACGAACACTCGTAAATTTACATGGATTTCCAAGGATAATTACACAATGACACTCGTACTAATGTATTTACGCATCTCAACGTCATTAAAATCGTTTAGACGAGACCTTTTATTTATTTATGAGCATGGTCGTAGAAACTTTGAGCATGGGGGGGGGGTCTTTGAGCTTCTTCTAAAATTACTGGACACAATATGATTGGACGTACAAACTGAGTGCATCTGCAATATGCAATCAGGTTATTTCTATTCCAGTATCATTGACGTATGAAAATAAAATGTTAATTAATGAATATAATGAACAGAAATCATTGATACGCGATAAGATAAAAAAAATTATACCGAACCCATCCCTTATTTATGTTACACAGTTATATATAATATATAGTAATACATACTACGTGGACTTGTAGCATCGCACTAAAATACGGAGTGTGTATACGCGTTCACCCAAAATGAAAATAGCGTTCAAAAGAAGGTGAAATTTTGTGAAAAAAGACAAAAAGGTATTATTGGTAAACATAATGCACAACACGCAACATTAATAAAATTTTAATATTTATGTAAACGTAAAAAAGGAAATTACCACGAATCCTATAAATTTGGACTCGATTACTCAAAAGTTCACCTTGCTTAAACGCGAATGACCTATACTATAAAGATACCTACGATAAAATACTATAACTGTTCTCTTTAAAGTGAATCACATATAACAATACTTACTTTTAACAGAGTTTCCTACTACACGCCTAGTCCTCTGTACAATTTTCTTAAACTCTTTTTCATTCTCTTCATTACTGTGTTGCCCATATGAAACTTATACGCAGCTAACGCACGAGCTACAGAATTGAAACTATCAAACGATATTTCACAATACTGATATTGCAATGGTTACATCCTCAGCCATACAAATAATTATAATGTCGACGAGTTATAAAAATATAATGCATTTGGAGAAAATAAAAGAAGGAGAGTATTTATGCAAAAGCAATTCATAAACGATGCATATGTAAATATCACTAGTTATAGATTGGACGATTAATAATTACAAAAAAAAAAATACGAGTAATATAGGCCCAGCGAATATTCATACCAGAAAAAAATACCGCTATTACGTGATGTATAGAAATGTGTATAGATATATATTAAAACGTAAATATGTATGAAAACATACTAACGATTGCGAAATTGCTCCTTTATGGTATAAAATATACATGCGCACAATCGAAACAACTAAAAGAATTTCCTCTTAAGCGAGAACCGCGTTATTTACGTTTAACGTAGTTAGAGCTGCTCGCCGTAAATATCACTGTATCTCTAAGAGGAATGATATACTTTTATCAAAACATCAGTATCCTGCAATACGAATTGTAATCCGAGACAGCGAGCAATAAAGAATATAAAATATGAAATTATAGATAACTCGCGATAACGTACATAACGAAGTATCATGGGTATTGAATTAATCTCAAATCTATATACATTTGGAAATGACTTGTTATCAAAAGTACCAGACAACTTTCAACCATAGAAGTGAGAGCCAAACGTGACCACAAATTAGTATTAGTAAATGAAATATATATATATATATATACTATATATATACCAATAGTTCATAACTGTACTGATAAGAAAAGATAAAAAAATAATTAAAATAGCCCAATCATACAGGCGATACAAAATTGACGTAAACCAGGAGTAGGTAATTTTATCAAAAAATAATGAATCACGCCATGACTCCAGTACTATTGTTTTCATGTATTTTCGATTATTCTAGAATTCTACCTAAAGCCTTTTTCAAGCTTTTCAAAACGCACGTGACAGCAATTATTATTTCAATTGATTTCGGAAATAATAACATTACCGTTATCAGAATGACAAACGACACTCGAAATATTAATCAAGAGAGTAATTAACTCCCTATACTAAAGTTTCACTATCACTACTATCCAAAATTAGTAAATATAACAATGAGCGAGTATTAGAACAGATATCATAGAGAACCCGATTGCACGTATAACTCCTAATTATACAATAGGAACGAGTATCTATCTACTTGATGAACTTTTCATGCCTATAAATAAGAAAAAATTGTATCCTGTTCGTTTCCACGAACCAACACGAAAACTTATATCTAAGGCAGGATGACACAGCGACCGAAAATGATCGCGCACGAGGAAACCATCATGATAGGGATTTCTTATCATGCAACGTTCAGGTCCTCCTCATTTCCGACGAAAGGAGGTGCCGTGCCTCGCTTCCGGTCCTGACAAAATTTTGGCAAACGGTCGACAAGGATAACGAGAGACAACGAGCACTGGATATACGCACGTTACACGAGGCAGAAAGCGTCATGCGGTGCAGCCAAGCGTGGGTTGCTGTTTACCTGCGAAGGGTGCATCTCCAAAGAACTCCTCGACGTTGTCCGTCGACATGCTTTTATCCGAAAGAGAGACGCTCGACAGGGAGCCACTCGACGCATCCAAAGAGCCGCCAGCTGGAAACTGCAGCAAATCCTCCTCAGTTTCGGTCTCCATGTCGCGCGAACGTCGTTTATACACCTGGGAACAAAGAGCAAAGGAACGTTAAGGCTCTCAAAAGATATAACTTACGTACATTAAAATCAACTCGTTATATTATCCCGACTTGAACTTACACATGAATTTCTGTAATTCAGTGTGATTTCGATGTGGCATACGCAAGAGCTACAGTGAGAATAGCTTGGGGGGGGGGGGGGAGGGGGAATT